GTTAGAATAAAGATATATTACAGAATTATAGAGTTACTAGCCTTATATTATTACTATATTCAAAATAAATTTATTTCCTACCGTGAGAAAACGAACTGATAAGGTTAACATTTAAGTAGGTATACAGTACAGATGGAAAAAAATTAAAAATATTAACAATAATGGTAAAATAAGAATAGTATTGTTAAGTAAACTAAACTTAAATATATTGTTGTTAATGTTGACCTTAGTGTTTATCGTTTAAAACAAAGAAAGAAGCAAACAAAATTCTTTTTTTCACTTTGCACACGTTTTCACTTTTAGAATAATAATAATAATAATATTATTATTATTATCAAAATCAGTTTCTGTCTTTCTCTTCTCTTTTTTTCTCAGCCACACAAACACTCCTTTTTCTAAAAAAATTCCATTTTGTTTTAATTAATCATTTGTTCAACATGAAATACAAATCCAATATGGCGGGAAATTTGAAATCTCCAGTTAACTACTCTTATGAATACTTTTTTATTAAGTAACTATATTCATCTAAGGAGAAGAAATCACGAGGAATCATCCACTAGGGATGAGACTCAGGGTTTTCAGTAAAACAAAACAGAAAACAACAACAACAGGTGAATCCGTCAACTGGTAATCTGAAGGTCCTAGGTTCGGTATCGGATGAGGTTATGTGTGCGTGTGGGTGTGGGTGTGTACATGGTGTGGCATCCCAAACTAGTTAGAAACCGTCAGACAGCTGTCATGGTTTTCATTTTGTTCTCGACAATTGATGACAGTTCGTGATTTAACTTGTATTCAATCAAATCCATGAAAACCAACAAGTGAAAATATTCTCAGTAATAAATTGAAAATTTTGACAGCTGACAATAGTCATTATTATTATTATTATTATTATGGAGTAGTAAGGGCAATTTCTTATGTGAACCAGAAATAGATTGGGAAAAAAAAACACAGGAAAAGAGGTAATCATCATTGGTGGAGGAAATGGCCTCATTTTCCAGTGACCATGATAAACTATCCTCTGACTTCGTTGCACACAAGTTTAAACATGTTCATTTTCTGCACTTTCTATATTTTTGTTCATAATTATAATAAGAGGGAAAAGTAGAAGTGGCGTCAAAATATTATTTATGATTTCTCTCTTACCCTTACACACCACACATACAGCCACACACCCTTTTGTCTGACGTTAATTCCACTCCAAGTATTTAAATTTAATGTCCAATAATAATATTATAATTGTTCCCTTGGGTTCCTGGTGGAACATAGGGCTTCAACTGCACGTCTCCACTTCCTTCTGTCTTCTGCTGTACTTTTCGTTTGCATCCATGTTAGTCCATTCTGTTTCAACTCCTCTTCACACGATCTCCTCCATGTCACCCTTCGACGTCACACTCGCCGCTTCCCTTTCGGGTTCCACTCGAGCACTGACCTGACGCACGATGTCAACCAGCGGAGGCCTCCTCAGCGAGTGTCCAATGCATCTCCACTTTCTCCTGCATATTTGTTGGTTGGCGATTGGTTCTTGTTTTGTTTGTTCCCATAGTTTCTTGCTGATGATTCTTTCCGGCCATCTGAACTTGAGTATGGAGCGAAGACAGTTGTTGATAAAGGTCTGCAACAGGCTGTTGGAAATGTTCTTTGTAACCCACCAAGTTTCTGATCCGTATAGATCCGTGTCACCAATAATAATAATAATGTGTACTGGGCTCGAGTCCCCGTGGGAACACCATCTCCCACTGGAAAGGAAGTGTATCCAGTCGACGAGTCTAGAGTAGGGCGAAACGCGTGCCTATAGTTCTACTGCTAGCCACGAATAAACTAATGAAAGCGACATTATTCCATGATATATTATAACAGATCTTGTAATCCTACCCTCCGCCCCCCCACCCTACACACAGACTCACATAAACGCTCTAAATGTTTAAAATTTCACTAACCTAAAGATGTAATAATAAGTTACTTATACCATGACTTTCTCGTATATTACTGAGCTAAATACCAGTGTTATGCAACAATCACAGTAACTTTAGGGGAAGTCCAATAATACTATTGTTGCAGTAGAACTATAGGCACGCGTTTCGCCCTACTCTAGACTCGTCGACTGGATACACTTCCTTTCCAGTGGGAGATGGTGTTCCCACGGGGACTCGAGTTCAGTACACATCATTTCAGACGCCTAAGTGTTATCCACTAGACCACTGAGACACGAGAGTCACCTCTTGTTTGCTCATGTTCCAAATGTGAAGTTGACCACTGAGATCATATATATATATATATATATATTATAGCTTGATTCCACACCGTATTTTTGGTACAAGTATGGGATTTTCATCATGTGATATCGGTAGCCGAAATTTTTCGGGCCGATCATTGATATCAGGTGTGCGTCGGCAGGTGATCGAACCCTGGACTATATGCATGGTCGGCAAGAGTCGTAACCACTGTGCCACCGACGCACATAAATCAGGTGATATTCATAAACATAAGTAAATAAATCCATGGGACAACAAGATTCCATTCCAAGTGGCTGAATGGTCAGTGAGCTTACGTCGTAACCTGAACGTCCAGGATTCAACTCCCTGACGGTCACTGGGATGTACTGCTGAAGAGGTCCATAACAATTGATTAATTTTTATATTTATTGCGTCAGTGACTTAAGGGTATATTGCCCGCCAACTACACACGTGATCCGCACTTGAATTCCATCCTGACGTACTCATAAAAATCTCTCTTAGTTTAATATTAAAAGTATTGTCTTTATTACCTCAAGTTCCGAGTGGAACAATACACTTCGACAGCGCATCTCCACTCCACCCTCTATTCTTTCGTCCTTCTCTACATACAATCTCTTTCATAGCACCTTTGAATTGATACCCAACTCACTGTCTTTCATTAGGGATCCACTTCAAGGGCCTGATGTGGTGTGTGATGTCAGTGGTCTCTTCAGTGTGTGTCCAATGTTAGTTTAGTTACCAACAACCACCATTCAGTAAAATAGGCGAGGTAAAGTTAGCGTGAGGCTAACAACACCCATCACTACTGAAACTTCTGAACTCAAGCTAGAAGACCTATGCACCACTCGGGAATCAAGGGAATGACAGAAGAGGAATTTTCTGTATCCAGCTTTCTTAATTCGATAAGATATTCATCTGCATAAATCGATTTAATGAATAAATGCATATTCAAGTATTGGTTTGTAGGGATTTGATTGATTGGTTACAAGATTTCATCATGATGAGCTGACATTGGTTAGAGAACCACTGGAAAGCCAGCACTACAGTACTGGACAGCCGTCTGTTTCACCAGCCTAGTCTGCGACTCTGCTTCAGGAGTTCGCACCCACCACCAGGGTTCGAACCAACGACCTTCTGGTTACAAGGTAAGCTAGCCAATTGACCATCAAGCCACTGGGACTCTTTCCAATAGCAAGTCCATGAATTCCAACTTCTGCCAATTCATGACAAAGCTGACTAGCGACTAGCCCTATTCAGGTAGTTAACCTGGGGTTCTGTTGGGAAGCCGTGACCAGTAGGGTACAGCAGGTTGAAGATAAGGCAGTAACTCATCGAAGAATACATTGCCAAATGGTCATGCTATGTCGTGAATTCGCAGGAGTTATAATTCATGAGTTGGCCCTTTGGATCGTTTGCGTCCCAGTGGCTTAATGGTCTACAAGCTAGCTTGCCTTGTAACCAGAAGGTCGTGGGTTCGAACCCCGCATGGTGTGGGTGCATACTGCTGAAGTGGAGTCCCAAACTAGGCTGACGAAACATATGGCTGTCCAGTACTCCCAATGGCTCTCTAACAGATATCAGCGCATATGTAGCGCAAAATCCCTCCAAAAACCAATACTTGAAAATTTATAAATTGTAAATATTGATTCAAAAGTTAATTTCCAAAGCAAAAAAAATACTTTTATTATCCTATCCTACCTATTGAGTAACAAATTTTAAATGATGATCATTGCATTGTTTAAAACAACTGTGATAGGCCATTTTTTAAAATCTTGATCAATGTTCAACATATATATATATATATACATATATATATATATATATATGTACAACAAATGTATATATATATTCACTATATCTATCCATACAAGTTAAATTAATCAATAAATAATATGTATGAACATACTTTTATTAAATATTAAAGTTTGATGATTAACACTCAGATTATACACACACATATATATCCAGTGTTAATTTTTCTCTCTGTACAACAAAAGCCAAACAAACCAACCTACAGTATGTGATTGACATTTGTTTAACTGACAAGATGTAGTTGTGTAGTTGTTTTTTGTTTTTTTTTGTTTTTGTAGGATAAACAAAATAAAAGCTAACATTTCGACGAGGTACATTCCATTCTATGTGATGAATAAATTCTCTTCTACTGCACAGACTTATTGTAATGACACGCACGCATGCATGCAGTAGAAATCAAGCTATCCCCACCAAATATCAGTGTATCCGTATCAATTTCTATTTAAATAGTCTATTAATTATAAAAAAAGATATCAATGTTTAAAGAAAGGACATAAGGTAGTAGATAATCTATCTATGTATCTATCACATCGACTTCTATTAATTATTCTGCTAACTGCTATTGAACATGTCATGATTTGACTATGTGCTTAGCAGAAGAAACTGTTTTTGTTATCATTACCATTATTATTATGATTATTTCTCTATGCATGTTTTGTTTATTTCTACTAATCACTTATTTGTATTTATATCTTTCTGCGTCTATTGTCTACGCCTGCTGTTAATGTTGCCGTTGTGTTGCTGTATCTCAACTACACAACTAATGATGATATACGTCAACACACACTTTCACTACACTGTCTGTCCATCAACCAACTTCTTTTTTTATTATTTATTTGTGTTAATCAAATACACATAAATAATAAATATTTAAAAAAATAAATAAATAAACAATCAACACACTAACACACTGACACATACACACACATACACGTACACATGAAAAATGATTAGATCGTATACTATTGGATATACCATGTCATGTTTGTGAAGATCATTCATCAGGAAAACATTATGGTATCTATGCTTGTGATGGGTAAGTGTGAAATTATGCTATAGACATATACAATGAAAATATTTATCCTTTTTTTTTGTTGGTTTATTTACTTAAAAGACAAAAACAAAAAATAGAGGACTGTTGTTTATCACTGAGTTTTTTATTTTATTGTTGTTGTTCTCGCGTTGTCGTTATCGTCTTCTGGTCAGCAGTCGTCGTCGTAGTAGTAGTGGTAGTCGTTTACGTTGTTCGAACATGTTTATACTTGTTGTACTAGTGTACATGTGTGTGTCTGTAAACAAAATGATTAACTACATAAACTTAACTTTCCCGTTTTATACACTCTGCCGTATATGTCTGTCCACATGCATTCATGTATGCATGCAGACATATATACAAATATTTATTTATATATATATAAAAATCGATAGATAGACATATTGATAGACAGACAGGCCGATAACATACACACACACGCACGGGCACACATGAAAATGTCTACTAGACATATCAATATCAAATTAATTAATTAATTAATATTTCTACTGACTGAACATCACTTCATCATTAGCAAACTGACATATCTTATAATACTATAAATTTTAAGAAAAATGACAACAACAGAATGAAAATGACTGAATTAAAACAAAAAGGCGTTGAACACATTGAACAACACTTCATTTATGAGTCAATTAATTGAACAATGAATAAATAGATATACATGTGTTTGTGTGTGTGTGTGTGTTAGTGATAACATAATAAATTCCTTCCTAGTTTGTTGATATTCTGTGATATCTTCGAGACTAAAACTGATTCATGACAAGATTCGAACCAGTATGCTTGAAAATAATTAGCTTGATGGTCTGTAAGACAGAATTAACTGAGAAGTTGTATGATTGCCACTTTTATGAATATTCTAAAAATATTAAGGTCAGAATAAAATTCAACATGGTTTATAAAGAAAGAAATTATGCATAGAATAGTGTCCAAAAATTGGGGGTGGAGGGTGTCTGGGAAAAGACTTGTCAATCATTATCGGGGTTTTACTATTTTTAAGTAAGTGCTGGACTACTTATGAGTAGTTTGATTACTTTCCACATAACTGACACGGTTTCATTTAGGTCCATATAGAGGTCCAAATATTCACGGGTGACAATCACAGATTGGAAATGGGAAAAATGAGGTTTTAAAAGTGGAATGCGAAGACAGGTTTGAAAGTAATAACAAATAGTTTTTGAACGCATAAACACAGGTTTAAGCCTATTTTCTTATGGCTAGAGCTTTAACGAATTCACATATATGGCCAAGATCTCTTTTATATAATCAAATTGGTTTAAAGGTAGTATTGAAATCAAACTTGTGACTCAGTGGAGATAGCCCATGAATTCTCTCCATACTCAGGATCAAATGGTCAGAGAGAATTAGCAACAAGTAACTCTGGCTGGCTGGCAGGCAACAAACCAACAGGAGAGAGCCGATTGTTCAACAAATATGCAAGAGAAAGTGGAGATGGATTGATCGGGCATACACTGAGGCGGCCGTCGAATGACATCGCGCGTGTCCTAATGGAGTCCCAATGGGAAGTGACAAGTAGGTCGTCGATGTCAGAGTGACATGAAGGAGATCATGCGAGAAGGAGATGAGTGACTGTGTTCACTCGTGGAGTCAGCTGAAGAGGACGGCAGAAAATAGAAGAAAGTGGAAATGTGTTGTTGAAGCCCTATGTTCCACTCGGAACCCAAGGGAATGATAATAATAAAATAATAATAATTAGCCAATTGGTGATTTTAGCGCAATCACCAGTCAGTATCACCAATGGTGAGCATTTGTCCTGACTCTCAACCGGATGGACTACCTTTTTCACGACTTCTCATTGGAACTTAACACCTGAAGCTCAATGGTTTTCAATAGTTCTCTAACTGATATCAATACCTTGTTCGATAATGGGTTAATACTTACGTGCAGTAGAACTGAAGACTTGAATGTTTCATCCTATTTTGGACACTATTTCAAGTGAATACACCTACCTCTCGCACATCGAACATTTTTAGTCCAAAATTTTTAAATAATAATTTATTGTTGTTGTTTATTTCTGTATTGAAACATTTAACACAGTGGTGTCATTGTTGTTTTAATTGATGTTGTCAATGTCTGTCCTATGTCTTGTTTGTTTTTTCTTTTCTCGCTTTCATTACAATATCATCTTGGAAATTGGATAATATATATATTCAATTTATCCGCCGGTAATGTTTTGAAAACGCCTGAAACATGTACATTTATACAGTTGTGCGGGATTTTTTAAAGTAAGTTAATATATTTACACACCGAGTGCGATATGACGTATTCATTATTAACTAATTGAATTTCCCACTTTAAAAAGTTAAATGTTCAATGGAACAATCATCATTGAACATTGAAGCACAAATATTTCTCTCCCTAAAAGATTTTTACTCTTAATATGTTTTTGAGTTGAATAAAAAAACTGTTTATAGGAGGGGTTTTTCTCCTTCATAACTGTAATGGGCACTTGTTTCGTCCTTATTAGGACTCATCAATTGGATGCAGTTGCTTCCTAGTAAGTAAGTTATAGCGTTTCAAATGAGACTGGATTGTCTCAAACGCGAAAGCAAAAGAGACACAGAGAGATTTGAGATTAATTTGTTGACTGTGAGACATCTGTTCGATTCAGGTGCATTTCACCAAGAAGTCACACATATGAATGAAGTGAGCTAGTGAAATCAGTTTGCCATTCTCTCTTATCAAGTGTTTGTTTGCAGGGATGTGAAGGATTGTAAGTCTCATCACGAGCTGACATCAGTCAGAGAACTGCTGGAAAGCAAGCGTGCGGTAATGGATACCTGACTGTTGAGACTTGTCATCAGTACTTGTCCACTGGGGGTTCGAACCCAGAACCTTCACGTGAAAAGTCACACTTGTAAACTGGAACCCAATCCAGCCACCCTTGAATCACAACTGCCAGCCAATACCACCGTTGAGAAACTGTTCTCTTACCTGATTTATTGAGCCTTGTGGGTCAAGACGTCTCTCCTGTAATTAATTATCCGGTTCTGGCTGACAGAGACTCGATTGCTCACAGGTTTTAATCTTTAGGTGATATCTGCTAAACTATATGTTTGCACAGGACCTCCATATGACCTCATATCACACACACCAGTCAAGCGATTTTGAGTAGAATCCAAAATGGAAAGCTATTGATCAGTTGAATGTTTCTCCAAGGGTGACTGACATTCAGGAGATTATGTGGCAAGGAAATGAAAGCTTGTGAACAGCTGTTTCCAGTCAGTTATTAGTGATGCAAGCCAAGCGAGTACAGTGAAGATATTCATCAACTAAAGTCCTTATACTCTTACACTTGGAATTCAAGCGAAAAAAAAGTGTTAACTATACTTTGTACCTTTTTGTATGAATAGTAGTCATAGTAGTATTCTACACACAGAATAAAGTTGATGAATAATTGAAATAGGAAGGGAAGAAAAAAGTAAAGAGGTTGATATAAAGAAACAAAAATTTTCATATTCAGTTCACTTAATACTCTTAGCATACATTTAAGACATTTCCTCCACTTTATTTAATCCATTCTCAGTGTGTGTGTGCGTGCGTGTGTGTGTCTTATATCATATGATGTCATTCATAAATGATAGAATGTATATTATGTATATGCACAGTGCTCACTTCTAAATGCATTTGTAACTGTCAATTCACTTAGATACCACGCATACACGCATCCGTATAAACACAAAGAGCGCGCGCGCGAGAGAAACAGTGAGAGAGCAGGGCGTAACTATCCATAAGAAATGCAGTGGAAACCCTGTCGTCGCCACTATCATCATCAGCATCAGTGTAGTTGACGCCGTAGTCGACGCCTCAGTAGTAGTATGATCATCTACATCCCTGTTAGGGCGACCACCCCTACCATCATCGTCATCATGTGACGACATCTCATATCCCCGTGGACTACTATATCATCTCATCACCATCTTACTTCTTTTGGCTTTTAACAGCTTGACATTTACTATCACTTAGTATATATATATATATGTTTGTTTAATTGAATTATATGCACATTGAGTGTGTGTGTGTGTGATTGAGTAATTAATTAATTAATCTATCAACTAATTAATGAGTTGATTAGTTAATTAAATGAAGCCATTAAAAAAATGAGCAGTGGTCATCAAGAAAAATAGCAGGTGGTCTGTATTGAGTTGTGCACATTTGAATTTGTAAAACATCTAGTGAAACTCTACAGTCACAAATGTGTACACTGACATGCACGCACACACACATACACTAAGGGAAATACACATCGACTGCAAGATTATTCTCACTTGGGATATAAGAAACATTAAATGTATTTTAATGAGATTAAAGCATCATTAGGCCTAGTTTAGCACTGATTGTCGTCAGATAAATGGATAAAGAAAGGTGGAGAGAGTGTGAGTGAGAGAGTTCAGTGTCATTAAAGCTAGTAATTATTAGTTTTTATTAAGTATTATAGCGTAAATCTAGGTTATTATTATTATCAGTGGTAAAGGTAATATAAGTAGTACATCACATTACTATCGCATTTAGTTCCTAGAGAAACTTAGGACTTCAGTAACACGTCTACATTGCGTTCAGTTCTACGCCAATGTTTCCATAAACTGACTCCACGTCTCCTCTTCACATCACCTAATCATTCAAGTTGTCACCCTCACAGTGACGACCAATTCGCCACTTCCCATTCGGTCAGGTTCCACTCGAGAAATGGCCTGGCGTGTCATGTCACTTACTTGATGGTTTGTTTTCTCAGAGTATGGCCAATCAACCTCCATTTCCTCCTGCAGATTCGTTACACAATTGTCTCTTACTAGGTTGGTTCGTTGGTTCATTGCCAGAGATCCCTCCCTTGTTGCTGATGTTTTCTGGCCGGCCATCTGATCTTGAGTGGTATTGAGCGAAGACAGTTGCTGATGAAGGTGTGTAGTTTGTTCGAAGTAGCCTTCATGATGTGGCGTGGCGCGGTGCCGACTCTCTCATCCGTATAGTAAGTGGTAGTGACTTCACATTGGAGTTGAAAATCCGAATCTGAATTTTCATGCTGAGTGCTGTTGATCTCCACACACAATTGAGAGTAATGAAAGCTTACCTTGCTTTCCCGATCTTCGCTTCGATATCCTCACCAGTTCTGTCTGTCTGTAGTTGAAACGATGCTTTCCAGGTAGGTAGGTAAAGGAGGTTGCTTCTTTCAGATTTCTCCCATTTATACTGATTGTTGTCCATTGACCAGGAATCTTCATCACCTCCGTCTCCATCTTCTCTATATTCACCTGAAGTCCTATCTTTGATGCTTCTTCTATCGTCAACTTGTTGCTTTTCATCACTTGCATATCTTCCAGTTTGTGTGAAATCAGACATATATCATTGGTGAAATCCAGATCCTTCAAGTATTTTGTGTGGGTCCATTTTATTCCTGTCTACTCGTAGCCCGCTATCTGTCACATTATCCAGTCTACCGTAATCAGGAAAAATATTGAAGATAGTAGGCAGCCCGCCTTGTCTTACTCCCGTCTTCACTTTGAAGGATTCCGTGAGTTTACCCTAATGGGTTACAGTAGAATTAGTAGTAGTCGTAAAATCTATTTGTAATCTCAGTTTCAGTCGTAGTCGTATAACGCCAGTGGAATTATTTATTTGGCAAACAGTATCTGTTGGTTTAATAACAAGCTAACATTATTTAAAGAACCAGGACTGTTTCGTCTTCCTAGTTTGTGACTCCTCAAGTGTACGCACCTATCGGGGTTCGAATCCAGGACCTTCCAGCTGTTACAAGGCAAGGTCGTAAGTCATTCAGCCTTCAGGATTCTATCTAATGGCTGATAAATCCCAACTTCTGTGCAATGACGATCTGAATGGTCTACAAGCTTCCTTCACAAAGACTGGAACCCTGGTAGTTGCATACCTCTGACGAGTCAGTCCCAGATCAGGAGAACGAAACAGCTGTCCAGTACTCCCATCTGGTTGTAAGGAATTAGATCCTACTTTGTCTTGAACAGAATTGTGTCAGGTGATATACTATCGATTATTATTATATTATTCTACTTGAAGATGCTATCATGATAATGATGAAGTCTGGTTTTAGTGATTTTCCTTCCCCAAAGACTTTGACTGTTGAAGGCCTAATCCACCCTCATCCCTGTTGACTTGGTACCTACACTGATCATAAAACGTGGTATTTAGTCAAATGAATTGTTCCAGGTTGGACCACGGATTGATGTCATTTGGGGAACTATTGAAAACCAAACAGGGAGCTGTTTCGTCCTAGTTTGTGACTCATCGACAGTACGCACGCACTGGGTTTCGAACCTAGGACCTTCCAGTTATAAGGTAATTTCGTCGACCATTTAGTCACCTAGGTCCAATTCACTTGCCAGCCCATGAATTGTAACTTCTACCAATTGATGATTTTAGCCCGACCACTAACCAGTGTCATGGGTGCGTACTCCCGATGAGTCTCTCACAAAACACGATGAAACAACTGTCCAATACTCCTTGCTGGTTGGTTTTCAGTAGTTATCTAACAGACATCAATCCGTGGTCTAGCCAAAAAGAAATAGAATCCCTACAAATGAATTATTGTTGTGTACTAGTAGTGGTTCAGTGTCAGTCACGACTCATATGACCAGGACTGACGCACTCCTAAACTTCCCCCTTGCTGGTAGTGAAACCGGTTAGAAGGGAAGGTTGGGCTGGTGTGAGGCTGGCAATCTCACCCCCCTTAAAATAGGAACATCAATGCTAGTGAATCTTCAACATAGTTCAAGGTTGCAACCATATGTTCCAAATGGGATGCAACGGATTCACTAATAATTTAATGTGTTAATATTGTGAATTTCTACTTGTAAGAAGACAGACTGAGTAACACTCATAAATGTCTAACTTGTTTATTACTATTATTATTTTTATTATCTTTTAGAGATCAATTCGACGTAATCGTCAGTATACATGTAAAAGTCGTGGTAGTACAAAACCTGGTATGGTTATCTGTAGAGTTGATAAATCACATCGTAATCAATGCAGAGCATGTCGGCTAACTAAATGCCTTGAAGTTGGAATGAATAAAGATGGTGAGTAATAATTTTTTTGCCTGTTATAATAGTGCGATTTTTATGTAATACGACAACTACTTGTAATTTCGGCGCAACTAGTAATAAACTGCACCCTGTATCTGCTCAAAGTCCAATAGGAGGAGTAAGTTTTGAATCCCTACGAGACAGTAGTTGGAGGTTGTATATCTGGAACAGTAATACACAGTTCCTCCATCGATTTTCATATATCTGCTACTATATATATATATATGGCCAGGCGAACGTGTCGATGTCTAGCTAGAAGGCGTAATCAATGCAGCAAAAATTTTTAAAAAATGTATTCATTAAGTCACAAACAAAACGTGTCTACTGTCTTTCTATTACAAATGGAATATAAGCGGTTGAACTTTGAAGTTCCAGTAGAAATGATGTTGTTTCCTCTGTGTGTGTGGGGGGGGGATGTGTTTCAGCCAGCCTTCTATTGGCTACACGACGATGCGCGCCTCTCACTTGGCTCGTTGACAAGCATTTCACCACTGAACAATCCAGACATTTGGACATTAAACTATTAATCCTCCTACCTACCTCCCTACCTCCCTACCTACCTACCTACCTACCTACCTACCTACCTACCTACCTACCTACCTACCTACCTACCTACCTACCTACCTACCTGGGAAGCATCGTTTAAACTACAGGCGGATAGAACTGGTGAGGTTATCACAGCAGCGAGGATCGGTAAAGCAAGGCAAGCCTTCATTACTCTCAAATCTGTGTGTAGGTCAACACTCAGCAATCAGCTTGAAAAATCATATTTGGATATTTAACTCCAATATAAAGTGAGTGCCACTTACTATACGGATGAGAGGGTTGGCACCGCGCCGCATTACACACCTTCACCAACAGCTGTCTTCGCTCAATACTTCTCAAGATCAGATGACCGGCCAGAAAGCATCAGCAACAGTGGAGGGATCTCTGGCAATGAACCAACGAACCCACTCAACAGGAACCAATTGTGTAACGAATATGCAGGAGGAAATGGAGATGGATTGGCCATACTCTGAGAAAACAAACCATCAATTGAGTGACATGACACTCCAGGCCACTGCTCGAGTGGAACCCGACTGAATGGGAAGTGGCGAATTCGTCGTCTGTGTGAGAGTGATAACATGAAGGATTAGGTGATGTGAAGAGGAGATGAAAGCATGTGGGTAGACGTGGAGCGAGTTGATGGAAACATTGGCGTAGAACTGAACGCAATGGAGACGTGAGACTGAAGCCCTAAGTTTCTCTAGGAACTAAAGGAAACAATAATAATAATAATTGATTAGATATATGAATGAATAACTAAATAAATAAATAGAGGTCAATCTGAAGTTCAATAGACAAGTGTGAAATAAATGCTCGGAAAATAAAGTACATTCGGAAATGTGAACATGTGAATATAATATTATGGAAACATAGGATGAGTGAAATGTTGTCAAAATAGTAGACTAGATAAAATGTTAGAATATGCTAACATAAAGTAAAATGAAATCAAACAAAAAATGGAACACAGAATAAAGAAGGATAACAAAGTTGTTTATGCGAATTGCATAGTAAAATCAAGACCATGGGGTAGTAACGAAAGAGATCGTACAAATTGTCTTTGCATACAAAGTTTTGGCTGGTTTTGTTATGTATTACTAAAGCCTCTGGTATACAAAGCAAATGTAATCGTCTCCCTTTTGGCAAACTTTGTCGAACTTTGTCGAGTATATTAAACGATGTATGGGTTGCTGAGTGGTGCGTCAGTGTCTACAATATGTTGCAATATCGATGAATGAATATCTTTACTCTCTCCTTTGCTCAGCCGAACTGGGAGGTGCTCAGCTAGAACGTGGCGGCGGTATACATTTTTCTCGACGAAAGTCCTATGTACCCAGCTCCGCAAGAGCAGGTGAACATATAAATACACATGGAATTAGACAACGAACACATGCACACACATACACACACACACACACAAGAAAACTGACTGTTATTGTCTATTGTAATTCATAAATATATATGCGATTTTCAAGTATTGATTTTGTAGGGATTTTGTTTGATTGGATAGAGGATTTCATCATTATACGCTGACATCAGTTAGAGAACCACTGGAAAACCTGGGAGTACTGGACAACCGTTTCGTCCTAGTCTGGGACTCTTCACAGTACGTACCCACACCACACATTTCGAACCCATGACCTTCTGGTTACAAGACGAGCTAGCTAATAGACCATTAAGCCACTGGGACCCGCCTATCCAATGCCCAGACCATGAATTATAACCCCTGCGAATTCACGACAAAGCGCGACCGCTTCGCAATAACTTCTTCGATGAGTATTCGTTCTCACCTCCAACCTTCTGTACTCTACTGGTCACGTCTTCCCTCTAGAACCTCAGATTAACTGTTGGCTAGGGCCAGTCGCTAGTGAACATCAGATTAATTTTCAAGTATTGGTTTTGTGGGGAGTTTGTTTGATTGGTTGGAGGATTTCATCATGACCGTGACCAGTAGGGTACAGCAGGTTGAAGATGAGGCAGTAACTCATCAAAGAAGACATTGCCAAATGGTCGAGCTATGTCGTGAATTGGCAGAAGTTAAAATTGATGGGCCAGCCATTGGATCGGGTCCCAGTGACTTGATGGTCTACGAGTTCGCTAGTCTTGTAACCAGAAGGTCCTGGGTTCGAACTCCTGTGGTGGTTGTGTAAAACTGAAAACTCCTAAACTAGACAGAAACAGTTGTCCAGTACTCCCTCCGGGTTTTCCAGGGGTTCTCTAACTGATGTCAGCGCATAATAATGAAATCTTCCATCCAATATATGCAATTGTACAGCTGTGAAAATGAAATCGTCGAAAAGCAGGAATTGGACTTTGGTTCCAGTTAATTTATTCTCACTTGTTAGCACTTCATTTATTTGGACTATTGATGATAATGATGATGATGATGGCAGGGTATTGTTTTCATAAATCAATCACAATAGTTGCTACCTACCTTTTGTGTTGATGATTACTCATAAAAACAAACAAACAAACAACTAATCTTTAATAAATAAACAACAACAACAAACAACAAAAAGTCAACCATGAGAATTAACTTTAGTTAAAGAAGGACGACGAAGAATGAGGTGTAGTTGATGACAATAAAAAAACAACAAAGCAAAAAGCAATGATTTCAATTCTTCTCACTTCTCTTCAACTTTGTTCTGACTATCTTTCGTTTTTGCTATATTCTCATTTTTTTGGTTTTAATTTTTGGCTTTTCATCACATTGTCTGCATGTGTGTGCGTTCGTGCGTCCATCAGTCCGTCCATCCGTGCGTGCGTGCGTGTCAGTGAATATTTGTGTATGTTTTCTTCTGACGGGATAAGTAGAAAGTGGTGTTGGTGGTGTTGTTGTTGTCGGTGTTACTGTTGTCTTCGTCGAAGGGTCTTCTCAGTGTTCTGAGTTTTTTTAAATTTTTCAAAGATTTTCTGCCTTCTGTTGTTCCGTTGTTCTCTACGTTTGCTTTTTTTTCACTTAATGATACGACAACAAACATAAAAAGAAGGATGATACTTACTCTTGTTATTATTATTATTGTTATTGTCGTTTTATTCGTCAACAGGTTTCAGCGTGTATTTGTGCTATCATTTAGAAGTGCGGCTAAAGTTAGTGTTACCTGTCCTATGATTGTCATTAAAATTCTCTTTGCGAGTAACGATACTACTACTGCTGTAAAAGTAGAAGACAAGACACGGATATTATTATCACTATTATTGTTTCCTTTAATTCCTAGTGGAACATACGGCTTAGGCCCTGCGTCTCTATTGAGTTCGGTTATCTGCTAGAGTCTTCACCTGGCTCCAAGTCTGCACACACGTTTTCATCTCCTCGTCACATGACCTCCTCCAAGTCAACCTTGCACTGACGACCAACTCGCCGCTTCCCTTTCGGGTTCCACTCGAGCAATGGCTTGTCTAGTGAAGTCACTTGATGGTTTCCTCAGAGTATGGCCAGCCAGTCCATCTCCATTTCTTCCTGCTTATTTATTGCACAATCGGTTCCTGCTGTGTTGGTTCGCTCCCAGATATCTCTGTTGCTGATCATTTCTGGCCGGCCATCTGATCTTGAGTATTGAGCGAAGACAACTGTTAATGAAGGTGCGTAGTTTGTTTGAGATGCTCTTTATGACGCGCTGGCCAAGTCTCTGATCCGTACAGTGAGTAGCACTGACTTCACATTGGAGTTGATAATCTGGATCTTATTTTTGATGCTGAGTGCCGAGTGTTGACCTCCACACAGACTTGAGAGTAATGAAAGCTTGTCTTGCTTTTCCGCTTCTTGCTTTGATGTCCTTATCAGTTCCGTTCGTCTGTAGTTGAAACGATGCTTCCCAGGTAGGTAAAAGAGGTTGTTTCTTTCAGATTCCTCCCATTTATGCCGATTGTTGTCTCTTGTTGTTGTTGCTGCTGTTGGTGGTTTTGCTCAGGAATCTTCATCATCTACCTCTGTCTTCTCTATGTTCACCTGAAGTCCTATCTTCTCTGGATGCTTCTTCTGCCAACTTGTTGCTTTTCATCACTTGCATATCTTCCAGTTTGTGGGAAATCAGACATATATCATCGGTGAAGTCCAGATCCTCTAAGATTTTTGTGTGAGTCCATTTTATGCCTGTTTCCTCATTGCCCGCTGTCTGTCACATTATCCAATCTACTGCAATCAGGAAAATCATTGGCGATAGTAGGCAGCCTTGTCTTACTCCCGTCTTCACTTTCAAGGATTCCGTAAGTTTCCCGTTGTGGATAACATGGCATGCAGCATTGTCGTACAGCTGTTGGATGAGATGTATAATTGTCGGTGGCACCCCGTAGTAACGAAGTAGTTGCCGAAGCACCTCTCGATCGACGCTATCGAAGGCCTTTTCAAAGTCGATGAAGTTGAGATAGAGAGGTGACTGCCATTCCAGGCTTTGTTCAATGATGATCCGTAATGTGGCGATCTGATCAATACATGACTTGTTTCTCCTGAA